TAAAACAGGGTCTTTCTAAGTTGCCCAGGCTGGCCTAGAACTCGTCCTCCTGCTTCAGTCTCCCAAGTACATAGATTATACCATGTGAGGCTCCATGGCTTTCCTCTTAGATAGTTTAAGAAAGTACATCTTTTTTTTTAGGGCATGAAAATAAAATTACTGCTAAATGTACCATTTTTTTTCCAAAGTTGAGTTCTTTTTTTTTTTCTCAAAGTTCAGTTCCAAGATCAAATCCTTGAGCATTAAACGGTAAAGAGAAAATTTAAATAATCACACATGAACAAATGAATAAATTGCAAGGCGCCCTCCTAGAAAGTTCAGACTGTAGGACTTTTGCCAGAAACTTCTATTCCTTGGTCCATCACACAGACCAGGCCTCCAGGAGCTAGCAGGACAGAGTACTATGGTGCGATATACCAAGCTTAACAATGTTGCCAATTCTACTATAGTTTAATACTCAACAGAAAAGTCAAACATATGCCTAAGAAGGCCCATCTCTGCAGGGCACAGTGGTGCATGGTTGTAATCTCAGCACTCTGGGAGGCCGAGGCTGGGATGTGGCAAGTTTGAGGCCAGCCCAGGCAACTTAGTGAGGCCCTGTCTGAAAATAAATAAAGGGCTACGGGTGTAGCTCAGTGCAAAGGCCCTGGGTTCAATGACTACCACGTGTGTGTACGCACACAGGAAGTCCACCATCCATCATGGTGGGGTTGTTTTGGGGTTTTTCTTAGACAGGCTCAAATCTGTGATCTTCCTGCCTCAGGCCCCTGAGTGCTGGGTTTAACAGTGAAAAAAAGGGGGTAGAAACCTAGAGGTCCATCAACAGAAGAATGAACAAAACATAGTGTATTTACCCAGACACGAGAATACCACAGCTAAATAAATCGATTTGCATGTATAAATATACTGTGCAAGAGAAACTTATCAGAAAAGCCCTAAGGAAATGACTGTCCCAGTACCCACAATGTGCAAGTGGGATTTCCGGAGCCAGGTAGGTCAGTGAGTAACTGGGTACACGCTGTCTCGGTCAAGTGAAGACCAAGTGAAGAACAGCTGAGCAATTGCTAGGGGTCCACACAGCTGCCCCATCCTGCGCACATTTAGTCACTGACCGTGGTGCAGCCTTGGGAAGAAGAACGCGACGGTTAAACACTCGTTTCTATGTCACACGGTTACTGTGCAAGACAGAGTTGACCTTCGTCTAACTTAAACTTGCCTCTTGAGGGGAAAAAATTTTTTTTTCAAAGAACAGGTCCTGCTTACAGACGGTCTGCGCCATCGCTTTGGTATCCTTGGTGGATAGAAAGTTTTGTTTTTGGTACCAGGGACCAAACTCGGGACCTTGTGCTTGCGAGGCAGGCGCTGGAACTACTGAGCTAAATCCCCGGCCCATAAATTTTCACTGGAAGTCATTACAACCCCAGGAGGCGGGCAGAGCAGTCACGAATGGTGCCCTCAGGCAGTGAGGGGTCAGCCCAGAGGCTAAGAGGCTGCTCTGGGTGCGTGGCGGGGACAGAGGGCCCCGAGCCCGGCAGCGCGCAAGCGCACACTGCTCTCCTCCCTGCCCCCCCCCCCCCCCCCGTCTGTCTGGATGACACGGGGTCTTCGGCAGGGATTTTCTGCGTGAGCACGCTGGCTGCTGTGCCTCCAAGTGTTACCCAAAAATCTAAGCACTCGCTTCTGGGAGTGGGGGACACATTGCAAACTGCCTTCACCGAGGTGGCCGCAACACCCCGCCACGCCTCCTAAGCCTCCGGAAGTCATCTCACTCCCAGGACTGCACATTGAGAGCAGGGCCAGAAGCCGCGGAGGCAGAAGGAGCTCCAGAGGCTCCGTGACCGGGCCGTCCCGACAGTGCTCGCACCCACCCGGGACTGCCACGAAGAACTTCACAGCATCGCGGTGCCCATGGAAGCAGAGCTGTGCGTGCGCCATCGAGCAGTAGGGAATAAACGTCCCTGGGGTCACTTTATCGCTGTTCTCATCACCATAGACGCGGATCACACTTCCAGGGCGATTTCCTGGTGCTCCTGAGGTTTTATTTGCTGCAACAGAAAAATCAAAGACCGAATGTTTTCCCCTAGAAGATGGTCACGATGCAGGAGGTGACTGGTTAATCCTTATGATGTTATCTAAAAGCTACAGCCAGTTGAGGTCAAACAAGGGCAGCGACGCCAGTTCAAGGCAAAGCTGGAGAGACAGCATGCTCGTTATTTTAAGGACCTTAGGAAATGGAGCAGGGGGTTTTGCCAGTCTAGCATAACTATTACTTTTTAGAAATCATTTGAGTTAACCACAGGTCTATTTTCTTTGTAGCTGATCTTCTGACTTTGTCTCCCCCTGAAGGGGGCGGAGAGGCGTGCAGGATGGAGTGGCCCTCGTCACCCGGGCTGATGTCTGCTGTGACGGAGGGTGGCCAGACTCACAAACATCCCCGTTCCATGGGAAGTGAGGGAGAGGAACAGACTGTGACGCGAGGACATGATGTAGATTAATGACAGTGTAAGAGACGCGTCAGGTTTTTTATTGGCAGGAAAACAGGTCTGAAAGTGAGTTCAGCTGCAACAGAAGATGATAAATAGACTAAGCTGCTGAGCGGCTGGTGGCCGTGGAACAAACGTTAAAAACAAAACAACCGGCTGCGATGCAGTGATTGCGAGTGGGTGACACCGAGGAACATTCGGGGGGGTTCTAGAGGGGATAGCCTTACGTGGCCAGGATCTGCACTTACCCCTCAGCCCCAGTAAACGTCCCTGGTGGAGGATTACAGCTGAAGTGAGAGAGGAGGAAGGAGACGTGACTGGGCGTGCACACCAGTGTCTCCACCTGGCCCCTGCCTGGCCCTGGAGAGATGCGCACCCACAGCGGCCTCAGCCTGAGTCCCCGAAGTCCCTGCTAAGCCTCCAGACAGCCTGGCTCCAGAGGACTGTTTGGTTTAAGGCGATTTGGACTTAATTTTTTTTATTTTTTGGTACCAGGGATCGAACTTGGGTCCTTGCACCTGTGAGGCAGGCTTTGGAACTGCTGAGCTAAATCTCAGGCCCTTTGGGTTTAATTTTAAAGCCATTTTCATGAATCTGAATCAAAATCTTAAGAACTTGACTGAAGCATTTCCTATCTGCTTACATTTTTCCCTTTGCTTTTTCTTTATATATGAGTGTATATTTTCAAAAGAAATCCTGTTTACATATCTAGGCCAAAATGCAGTTCTATGATAAAGAATTGTAATGAAATCCAGGGACCCTGGAATCTCCTAGGAGTTAAGAAGTCTACACATGTAGACTCTTTTTTTGGTTTTGTGAGCCAGGGTCTCACTATGTACCCCCGGCTGGCCTTGAACTTGCCGTGACCCTCCTGCCTCTGCCTCCCAAGTGCTGGGATCACAGGCAGGCACCACCACACCTGGCTAAACGCAGAGGCTTGTAGGAAATTGCAGAAAAGATAGCTGGAATTAGGAATGTGGGTTCTTAAGGCTCCAGATACATCTTCTAGACCCCTTTCTCTGAAAAAAGGTAGAGCGATTCTGAGGTCTGTGTTTTATATATTATGGACGTAGGGTACCTTTTTTTCAAACCATTCCCTGCCCATGAATTTTGCAACACAAAAACATTTACTTAATGAGTGATCAATGTAATGGAGAAACATACAAGGAACATTCTGTTCACAAAACTAAAAAATCACATTTTTAAACACAAATTAGGCAGCTTATCTCCAGGACAAGGAAAAGTTTGCTGACCTCCTGAGAAACTTCTCCCATGTGTTCTTTTTAAACCTCCACAACAGGACAAATGGGATATCTTAAACTACATTCCAGGGGAATATAAAAATCTACGATAGGCCCCAGCATGGTGACACACACGTCATCCCAGCTACCTGGGAGGCCGGGGCAGGAAGAGCACCGCTTCTAGGCCTGCCTGGGCAACTTAAAAAGACCCTGTCTCAAAAAGGGGCTTGGGAATGCTGGTGTAGCTCAGTGCGAGGCCCTGGGTTCAAACCTCCAGTACTACAAAAGCAAAAGTGGGGATTTAGCTCAGTGGCACCTTGCCTGCCTCACAAGAGCAAGGTCCTGAGTTTGATCCCTGGTACCACAAAAAACAAACAAAAACCAAAGAAACTATGGTGAATGGCAAGTAGTATTTACAGATATTGGTATAATAATAAAGTTAAAGAAAAATGTATTTCGACCTGTATTTTAATGATGAATCAGGACTATGATTCCTAAATTGAGAAAAAGAGTCCCTTACAATGAAAAACTTAATTATGAACATTGGACCTAACACAGGCTAACTTATTCTTTGGTTTATAAATTTCATGAAGAATGAAAGATCAGCTGATTTTTTGAGTTACCGCAGATTTGCCAACATCTAAACAACTGCTTCTCCCTGAATCCTGGACATGACTACTTCCTGCGATCCTGTCTGTCCTGTGACAGTGATCGGAAAGTATACTTACTTTCTGTCAGTGGGATGGAGATAATGACACCATTTCCTGTCCCCACCCATAACCGATTGCAGGACACCATAAGAGCTGTGATCCTCACGAAAGAGAAGCCCAGTTTCCCAGTGCCTGTAAGGGGGGAGAAGAGGACGATTCATTGAGAAACTAGAGCAGACAGTGTTTTCAACGTCAAACCCCTCAGAGTAGCTGCATTAATACAAGATTAAACTGCGACTGGAGACGCACAGATGTTTGCTGAAGGTGCACAACCAGGCAAACTCTTACTTGGCTTTATTAGCATCTATCTGACAAGTCAGGGTTAACAGAAAACTAGTTCGGAAAGTGGCCAGCATTACATTACCAGCCAGAAGGAAAGCTCACAGAAAATAAAGTACCTCAGGAAATACAACACATGGTTTAATTAAGGGTCTGTAAAAACAACCAAAACAAAAAATACCCGATAATAAAAGTTTATTAGATTGGAAAATCAAATGTCCTCTGGCTGTATAAGCTGAAAAACTTCTGATTTGTCTTAAATTTCTTTACATGGATAAAAGAAGCCTTGCTAACAAAACTTAAGCTTTTGTCCTTGTTTATATATTTAGGCTCTAAGGCTGTTTAGAAATATTTGGATATCAAATAAAAATAGGGAGAATTAATATATTTCTGTATCTCAAGAGAATTTTTATAATTGATCTTATTTTTAGAGATCTAAGAGGAAAAAATGATTAAACAGACAATACATGTTAGACAAACAGCACCAGTCCCTTACGGTTCTGCTTATGAGAACTGTAGGCTGAACCCAAAATCAGCATAGGAGGAGCCTTAACTCCCCGCTGGTCTACACTGGGACTCTCAGCCTCCCACACAGCTCAGCTCAGCTTCCTCCCGCCTGAGCCTGGGAGAGGTTCACAGCTATGGTCAGGTTCACCAGGGCAATGACCCTAAAAGGTTAAAAAGCACTGGTAGGGCCTGACATGGCGACACACATCTGTAAACGCAGCTCCTCAGCAGTGTGAGGAGGCCAACCTAGAAATTTGGTAAGACCTTGTCCCAAAATAAAAAAATAAAAAGGGCTGGGGATGTAACTCAGTAATCCTTGGGTCCAAGTCCCAGTACCACAAAAAAACCCCCCCAATGATCTGGTTCAACTTTTCTTCATGAAAGAAACCCTTACAATAGCCCTAACAGTACAACAGCCCTGGATTAGATGCTAAAAGTATAGCAGTAAACAAGAGAGAGGCGGCCCCTGCCCTCCGCAGGGCAGTCAGCAAGAATCTCATCATACCAGTGCAGCCCAAATGCAGGGAGGGAAAAGCCCAAACGCAGGCCTCTCCTTGATAGGGCACATGCCCAGGTCCTGGAAGCTACGGCAAAGACCCAAGACCTGCTAGGTGGAGGACAGCACATGCGGTCCTGGCCTGGGAGGGACTGACTGAGCCATGGGTCAGTGGTAGAGGAGAGTGGTCCCCACACCTGAGGTCCCCAGTCATGGGACAGATGTCACCTCACCGAAAGGCTAGAGGGGAAGTGGACTTCCGTACATGGGTCACCCTGCAGAGCAAGCTGAGGTGCAAATAGGGGGAGCAGTTAGGAAGTGCATGGTTGGAGGGGCAGTGAACTGGCCTTGGGGATGGCGGGGGGAAATAAATAAGTCACTGGTTTAAGGTGATTGTGGACTTGACAGAGTTCCTGGCAATGGGCAAGATATGAATGAGAGAGGTCAAAAGTATTCCCACCCAAGTGTTGGTCCAGGACTGCAAGGTAGACTGCAGCACCTGCTGGATACTCATGGGAAGCTCCCACTCCTGAGGCGGCCTTACCTGGGCCACTCCAAGCACCTACGAATGCAGAGGGGCCGCGGGACCGTTCTTGCCCAGCACCGCCCCCCACATACACAAAGTCATTAAAAATACAAGTTCTCCTTGGCTGCCAGAGAAAGCGGTGCGGAGCTCACCTAACATTTTGCTGACATAAGGCTCGATGTCCACATCTTGCAGATGCTGGTAAGTGTGCGCGTGATAGAGACGCAGCGTGGAGTCCAGGCGGATGGAGACCCACACACCGTCGCCCACCCAGGCCAGCTGCCGCACCTGGCTCTCCTTCCGGGGGTGCGCATCAAAGGATTTCTAGGGGAGACCATCCCATCCCAAAGGCACTTTTGTTACACAGGAAAGAACTTTTTAAAAATTGCTAATTCAGGGCCGGGGATTTAGTTCAGTGGTTCCGGTGCCTGCCGTGCAGGCACAAGGTCCTGAGTTCAAACCGCAGTACCAAAAAAAAAAAAAAATTGCCAATTCAGCAGGGTGTGGTGGGGCATGCCTGTGACCCCAGCACTGGATCACCGTGAGCTCAAGGCCAGCCTGAACCACATGGCAAGACCCTGTCTCAAAACAAACCAAAACAAGCTGTTAATCTGCACAATCTAACAGACTATTCACTAAAAGAAGCCCAAACATTATGTACTTAATCTGACTCCTCTTTTAGATACAATGTGCTTCATCCTAGGAAGTGAAATGAAGAACAAGGAGCCTGGTTTGCAGGCCTGGGCTCTGTGCGGACATCACCTGGGACAGCAGCGTCACCCCGTGAACAGTGCTTCCCCGGACACCCGCACTTGGACTCTGGGTCCCTGCAAAGCCAGAAACAAAGTCTGCTTCCAGCTACACAGAAAGGAGCCCTTGCTACTGTACAAGAAACAGACATGGCTAACTTGGGACCTCCAAAGAAGGAAATGGGATTTGGGGCTGGAGAGGAGAAATTCTACCTTAAAATCTCCTGCTGCAAATTATTTACTTACACAATTACAATAAATATATATAGTGCAGCAAGACTTTAAGAAAGCAATACTGTGGTTTTGTTTTTAAACAAATTCCCACTGCAAGGTTACTTCCCAGTTTGTGACAGACATGTGGGTCTGCCTAGATGGGCACGAAGTGGGGCGGGAGACTCGAGAACATTCCTCCCAAGCAATCCTGATCTAACTAAGCACAGCGAGGATGGATTCACCAGGCATGTTGTGCACGCCTGTAATCTCAGCTATTTGAGAGGTTGAGGCTGGAGGATCACAAGTTTGAGGCCAGCTGGGGCAACTTAGTGAGACTTTATCTTAAAATTTTATTTTTCTATTCTATTTTGTGGTCTTTTAGTCACTATGTAGCTCAGGCTGGCCTCAAGCTTGCTGTGATTCTCCTGTGTCAGCCTCGCAAGTACTGGGACTACAGGGTGTGCCACCACAACTGGCTGAAAGTTTTAAAAAGGGCTGGCAATGCAGCTCAGTGGTTGGGTGTTTGCTTGGCATGCATAAGGCCCTGGGTTCAATCCTCAGTACCTCAGGAAAAAGAAAACAAAAACAAGTATTCAAATAAAACACATATACATCTACAGTATAGATACATATGTACATTCATGTGTGAATCCTCCTTCCTTCAAAACAGAAAGAAAAAACAAAAACTTCCCACCCTCATAGTAAAAGTAGCAGGGAGCTGGAATAACACAGAAAGCCACGACATCTGAAAAAATCTCGGAAGTGCCCTACAACACAGATCCAGAAAATAATTTCTAAAGAAACAGAAGGCACTTGGAGTCGTCTTAGTCTCTGTAAGTACAAGAATTGCCGGCCGACTTGCCTCTATTTTCATGGCCTTGGGCTGAACCACATAGATCTTGTTCCGGTAGCCACACCAGACTTTGTCGTGCACCACGGTCATGCATCGGATGGAGTGGTGGGGCCGCCCCAGGTCTAGGAGGTGATAGTTGGACAGGTCCCACTGCCCATCTGTACCGGAAAGAGGTCTCGGTTAGTGCCTGCTGAGGCCCTCACAGGCAGGACCAGCCACCTCCATCTGCAGAGATGGAGAAATGCCACCAGCGCACGGCTGGAAGCCATCTCGAAGCTCATCTGGGCCAACCCGCCACCCAGGACCCTGGGCCTCCTTAAAACGTGCTCCCCACTCAGAGGTGTGACAAATCACAACAAGCTACCTGTTCAGTGACAGTTTTAGAACTAGAATGGACTTAGGCCAGGGCTAGAGCTCAGGGCTGAGTACTTGCCTAGAAGGCGGGAGGTGCTGGGATCCACCCTAGCACTGCACAGCTTCCCAGAAAAAGGACGTAAAACTACTCTGGCAGCAACATCTCACGGTTTGGGTCTTTTTCTTGGGCAGAAGCTGAGGGACTCTGCTAACCCTTTAGGAATGGGGCATATGGTTTGAGAGTCCTTAATCTGAAGTCCAAACTATTTTGAGCTCTGACATGATGCTCAAGTAGAATCACAGTGCAAAGAAGAATAAATAGTCCTGAAGTCTCTGTCACAGCTCTGGCTTTTCCTCTCAACACCAGTGGCCTCGGCGTGAGTTCCGGGCCTGCAGCCTGCAGGTGCTCACCCTGACTCCGCCACACCACACTTGGCTGCGTGGCGCAGGATCCTCACTGTCTGCTCTGGGCGCTTTATTCCTGAGGCCAAACGCTAAGGAACTCGTTGTATTCAAGTTCCTCCACCCTAGGGAGTTGTTTCTAGACTTGTCTCCCCGCCCGCTCTCCTGAACCCAAATCCAGGGCTTCACACTGATCCTCAGTCAAAGAATGTATTCTGTCCTGTTCCGTTAATAAAATTTTGAATTTGGTTTATCTAAACAGTTTATTTTTTCTAGCTCTTTAGTAGCTGAGGGGCCCTAAATAGGTGACTAAAATGCCCTGTGCTTCAGTTTCCCATCTATAAAATGTGGAGCATTCCTTGTAAGTTACGGGAAAGATTAAATACAGGAAACCCTGTAAAGGCCTGAACAAAATAAAACAGTCTTTTCTCTCTTTAATGATGCAGCATCATTAACCAGCAACCTCTAGCATCTATCGATACAAATGGCATCTAAGATTCATCCACATCCTATCTGTAAGCCCAGAAGGATAAGAGTTTCGGAAATGCCTTGCTAAAATCCAAATTCAGTTTACTATGTCTTCCCAATATTTCCCTCATCTACGGAACTAGTGGGTAGGAAATGAACTATCATTTTTGGCTGATACATGTAGTAGGAAGTTATACAGTGATATGTACTCAATTTCCTTAATTTAATCCAGTTAAGGCAGGTTTTCTGATACCACCATCCCTCCACCTTCGATGGTAGAAACAAATATTTTTATTTTGTTTAGTTTTTTGAGACAGGGTCTCTCTATCTAGCTCAGTCTGCCCTTGAACTCAACATGTAGCCCAGGCTGGAGTGGAATTCATGATCCTCCTGCCTCAGGCAAGAAACAATGGTTTTAAAGGGGAATTTAAAAACGAGATGTAGCTGGATGTGGTGGCGCACGGCTGTAGCCCCAACACTCGGGAGGCTGAGAGTTCAAGGCCAGCCTGGGCTACATAATGAGTTCAAGGTCAGCTTGAATGAACTATACAGGGACACCTGCCTCAAAAAACCAAACCAAACACAAAGAAACCTTTATAAATATAAATAGATGTAAATTATTTTTAAGACACAGGAGACTAGGAAAAAAATATCCTCATCACTTTTTTCTAATTGATTAAATATATGAATGCAAAACAAATGGCTCCATAAGACACTGTAGGGGCCGGGGATGGATGCAGCTCAGTGGCATGGTACCTGCCTGGCAAGTGCGAGGTCCTAGGTCCGATTCCCGGTACCAAATAAAAAGACAGTATATAAAGTACCAGAGAACGTTAACTACTTGGTCACTGTGGTAAACACACTTCCCATGGTACACAATACTGTTACCTCTCCACTCTCACATTTACTATGTCATACGCTGCCAATATTCAGTTCAAATCTGTTTTCTTTCTCCTGCTAAGCACCATTTCTTTAAGACATAACAAGCCAACCTGTAGAAACGCCTCATCAAGTGAGCACTCGTGCAGGTGCAGGTGCAGGTGCAGGTGTCACCTGTTTAGTCACTCACCAACTCCTCTGTGAAAGATGGCGAGTGTGCCGTCAGCCAGGGCCACTAACACGATCCCCTTCACATGCCTGCAGACCGGAGAGGGATTTCAGGACCCACGTGCGGGGACAGAGGCATCCAGAGAGCCCCTCGGGGCCAGTGGTTGGAGGAGGAGCTCACACCAAATGGCGGGACAAGCGCCTTCTGACTGGGATGGGATCGCTGAGAAATGTCAGGCGACCCAAGCGAAGCGTGTGCGAGGGGTCTCAGCTGTGCCCCCGCCAAGCCCTCCTCTCCCCACAGGCGGCAGACGCCCCTCCCAGCACAGACACCCTGAGTGCACCCAGTGTAGCTCTGTGGACCCGGAGCCCCAGTCAGGTCTTTGCCCATCTGCATGTAGAGCAGGACTAGCACCTGAGTCCCCGGCAGACACCCTGGCCACTAGAGAATATTCTAAAACAGATATAAATTAACAGGTATCGGCTCACTCCCTGAAGTACTGAAGAACTCACAGTACGGTGAGGCATCACGCTGGCAAATCTCCTCTTCTACTTTTCTATTTTACTATTACAAAATTTCATTCTCACTCAACTTCTCAAAAGAAAGGGTTGAAAAAACACACCAAACCTGGGTACTGATTTAGTCATGAGATACACATTGGGTTTAAAATCTAAACCTAAAGTCTTAAAATCTAATATATATCACAATCCACAGTTTCGGAATAAAGAACTGAAGAGAGAGCACTTACACAATGCTGAGGATGGAGTCTTTGAGTTTGATGGAATGGAGACACTTCCTCCACTGGGCCACGGATGAGTGCACATACAGGCTGGGGATGAAGCCAAGGCCAGTCAGGCAGAGGAACATGCGCCGTGCACATAGCCCTGCAGCTCCTGTCACTCTCTCCTCTCCCCACCACTCTCCTGAAAAGCTATGCCCTGGATCCGGCCTTCTTGCAGCCGAACACTTTGGCTTAATCCTGGGTTCTTCCTGCCAGCATCCCAGTCTACATTAACCTTCTACACACCAATGTTCTGTCTTGGTGCTGTTCAGGATCCCCTGTCTCTAAATCACTCAGATTTTAAAATCTTTCTCTCTTTTTTCTTTTTTGGTACCGGGGATCGAACTCGGGACCTTGCACTTGTGAGGCAGGCGGCGGAACCACCGAGCTAAAACTCCGGCAGATTTTAAAATCTTATTCATCCCTTCTAAGAATACCATAGAAAGAGAACTTTCTATGACCAAAAAGAAATACAGTTTACTGCTGAGAACAATACAAGTTCAGTTTATGAAGTGTTGCAACAAAACTTCAAATTTTGTGCGCATCTACATTTCTTTGTATAATACACATTTTTGTGTTTCTCACTTGTACCTACCCCCTGCTCTTGCATACACATGCACACGTGCACACAGGGGCTGCAGATGCTGTCAGATGATGAGTGTGGCACCTACCAGCCATTCTGAGCACCCAGCCACATGGTCGGCAGCAGACTGCTCATCTTCTGGGCTTCCTCTCTCACCAGGTCTTGTTCATTCGGCAGCACTGATGATATGGGATCTTTATACACATCTGAGTCACTACTGCAAAGGTGGGCACAGGAAGAAACTTCAGAGGATATCAATCAGAATGGTTTTCAGGGACTGAATATTTCTACATAAGTTTATAACTACCAAAAAAACCTGAAACACACAAAAAATCTAATACTAAAATCCCAGAAAAGCCAATGTTAAATGCTTAAATATTTATTTATTTATTTATTTATTTATTTACTGGGTACCAGGGATTGAACTCAGGACCTTGCACTAGCACAGCAGGCGCCAGAACCACTGAGCTAAATCCCCGGCCCAAACAGCATTATTTTTTAAAAAAACTGTACGAGAAGAAAATGACCAGACAGATGGTCTATTTTATTATTATTTTTTATTGCTAGAAGAAGGGAGGAAGAAAAGCATCAGAGCGAAGGAGCAGGAGGGGAGAGATGAAGACACAGCAAGGACAGGCAGTGACACATCTCAGCCCTCAACAGTGACAACAGTTAGTGGGCACATTCTGGCTCCTTGAGCTAATTCTGGCTCTATTGGTGCCCTTGGCTTACCCTCCCGAGTCAGCACCCTAGGACATATACCTCGACTGACAGACCGGGGACAGGTCTTCGGGAATCTGAACCCCCAAAGGGTCAGTGAAGACGTGCTCGGTGTACACGCCAGGCTGGGAGACGTCCACGGCATCTTCTGCAGACCCTGCATTGCCTTCGGTGGCTTCTGTTGCTTCCTCAGCGGTTGGGACATTTTCGTCAACCTCACTATTTTCCGCTTCTATTTCTGTAAGATACATAAAATAACCAGAGTGTGAATACTTTCCCCACACAAACCCCAGTTGTGGCGCATACCCGGCGACCCCTCTTCCCGCTGCGTCGTGACCCCGCGAGCTCAACTTCCTGATCGGTCACTACAGCGTCTTCCACCCAGTGCTCTCCTCCTTGCTACTGGAGATCAGCAAGTCCACACCGAGGCGCCCGGGGCTGGCACTCCACACAGAGAGCAGGCAAGGGTGCAGGTACCTGGGGGCCTGTCTGTCACTGGGGAAGCACCGTTGGTACTAGGGGAAGCAGCAGCGCCTGTCGCACCCTCTGTGGAGCAGCCAACCACTGTGATGCCTCCCAGCAGGCTGTCTGTCTCTGCTGAGCTGTTGCTCGTCACGCTTCCGCACAAGGATGCCTTGTCCACCTGACCAGATTCTGAAAGTTCCTCTCCTGCAGGGTAGTCTGTTTCCCGGGCTCCTGAAAAATGAGATAAATTTTCTTTCAAGATTAAGAGCCAGGTACGATGGTGGAGGCTTGCAGTCCCAGCAACTTGGGAGGCTGAGGCAGGAGGATCACAAGTTCAAGGGCACCCCAGACAACTTAGCAAGACCCTGTCTCCAAACAAAAGCAAATGGGCTAGGGGTGTAGCTCAGTAATAGAGAACCCCTAGGATCAATCCTAGTACCACAAAAAAAAAAAAGGAGGAGGGGGGGGGAGGGGGAGGAGGGGGAGGAAGAAAAAGTGAAGTAACTTTCTACATGTAGCTTTGTTATTATAATTAAAGCAGCTAGAGGAGGTACTTAAGCAAATCTCTACAAAATGGGACAGTAACTTAAAAGGAAAAATAATATTAATGGAATTGCAAACAAAAAACCAAAAATGTCAGAGGGCACCTCTGTCTTTAACAAGTTCCTCCATAGCCGCATGAAGTTAAAAACAGTCTAAGAGTAGATGATGAGCAGTGTATGAATGAAATGAGCATGAATGAAATGAGGCTCCTTAGGACTACTCTGAAGCCCAGCCCAAGCGTCAATTTAAGTATGCATTTAATAAAATTTAAAAAATAGTCTAATAACTATATCTGATATCAAGTCAGAAGAAAATTTTTTTAATCTTTTTTTTTTTTTTGGTACTGGAGATTGAACTCAGGACCTTCTGCTTGTGAGGCAGGCGCCGGAACCACTGAACTAAATCTCCAGCCCAGAAAATATTTTTTTAATTAACAAGATTACTACTTGAGCTGGGGATATAGCTCAGCGGTACAGCCCCTGCCTGGCAAGCTTGAAGTCCTGAGAGTTTGATTCCCGGTCCAAAAAAAAAAAATTATTCTTGAAATATGGCCTTTTACCCACTACTGTTAAGCTAACTAGCCTAAGCTGGGCAGGGTGGCGAGCACCTGTAACTCCAGCACTCTGGGAGGCTGAGGCAGGAAGATCAAAGTTTGAGCCCAGCTATAGGCAACTTAGTGACTTAGCAAGACATCGTCTCAAAATAAACACTTTTAAAAGGTGCTGTCACTCAGTGCAAACACCCTAAGTACCACAAAAAAGAAACAAAACTGGAAAGAAAAAGAAAAAAAGTTAATCATTTAAAATACATACAATGCCCTAAGATACATATATTAGTAAAGCATTTTAAAACTAAGCCTATATAATATAAACTTCAGTGTAGAAAAAAATTTTATTCATGTCACATTAAAATTTCTATTAAAAGGCTGGGGATTTAGCTCTGCAGCGCCAGCACAAGGTCCTGAGTTTGATCCCCAGTACCCCCTCTAAAAGAACCCCATATATATATGTATTAAAATTTTTATATATAACATAAAATGTACCACTCTGAAGTGTGTAAATCAGTGGCATTACATTCTCAGTGCGCGGCCATCACCTCTGTCCCTAAACTTTTCCACCCCCACATAGAAATCAGCATCCACTGAACACTAACTTCTCCTCCCTCTTACCGCAACCCTGCTGACCTCTGACCTCCTTCTCTATGAAGCTGTCCAGTCTAGACATCTCCTTATCCCTTTTTGTCTGTTTTTCTTCTACTGAGTGTAACGTTTGGAAGGCTCATCCATGTTACAGTAGGCACCACAACTTTTACCTCCAGTCAACAATGGTGTGTTACACACATCAAATAGTACAGATCTCATATGGAGTGTTCTCACCACGCACATGCGCACACACCCCGTGACAAACTTCATCCCTTTTAATGGCTGAATAATATCCCATTACATGCAGATACCACAATCCCCTTTGATTTTTAAACTAGGTTTTAAATATCAGCTATTTGACTCAGCACTTTTGAAGACCTTGTTTTATTAATCAATCTAAGCAGCTCTGTTCTGCCTCCCAGTTATCTTCTCAAATTAACATTTTATTTTCTTCATACTGTTTTTCACTATGTGAGAATACTTTATCTCCACTCTTTCTCAATTAGAACATACACTCCGCATGAGAACAAGGTGCGAAGTGCATCTCCAGCGCCAAACCCTCCCTGCTCGGCGGGGCAGGCGGAGGGCTGGCACCCTGGCTCCCTCTTACCTGGGACACTGGCGATGCACAGGACGTGCGAGTTGCACACGGTGAAGCTGTCTAGGATGTTGCCCGGCTGGATGGCATCGATGATGATCACTTTTGTTGCCGAGTGAGTGCTGGTGCAGATCCACACCTGACTGGATAATTCTTCATGAGTTTTTAACTCCTTCTGCTGTTCCTGCATAGGCAAAGGGAGGAAAAAGAGTGGTTGAAATCACGTGTGTGTACAAATATCCACAGCAACACTATTTCAAATTTAGATTATTTGGAGAACTAAAAATATGACTCCTCAGTACTGACTGCTAGATTAAAAAGTAGTGGTTACAGCACACCAGTGATGACGTGCTACATCCCAGCTGTTACCTGGGAGTGCACACATGGCAAGATTCTCTGAACTACAGCCATTTCAAGTGTATACTTGATTGCAGGTCAATTATACCTCAATAACACTGATTTTAAAAGGGTAGTTGGGGAGAATAAGCAAGGGCCTAGTGACTTCCATTAGAACTTGGGCCCAGAAGTAAATGCTGAGAAAGGAAGAGATCCAGTGTTAGTGTGCGTGCTTACCTTAAGTTCCTGGTCTAACTTATCTAAGCTGCTCTGAGATGCACTCCTCTGTTTACTGCCTTCCATATCCAAACCGGCAACATCCTTGTAAAACACACTTGCTCCAACAACAGACCCGCCGTCCCTGGTCTTCCCACCGGATAAATTAACTCCAACTGCACACCACAGCTTCTCAGGTAGGGGAGAAAAGGCATTGTTATTTCACTTTCTCGCTAAAAATGTTTAGAATTTTTCATCTTTTCTTAAACCTTTTTGGTTTTAGGGAAGAAAAAAAAAATCTCCCCAGAGTTTGAGGCCTATCTGTCTCCTTAGCTTCACAAGGAGCTCACCTTCATGGATGCATCCTTTTCATCAAGAGGTCGGAGATATACTGGCACAGGTAAATTTTTCATCTTATTTTCCCCTTGGCCATTGGTCACCTAATAATGAAGGAGACACACAAAATTGGAAATACTCACTGAAAGCGAACTTCCTTCAGAACCACTGAGACACAGCCAAGCACTACTCTTGTATGTTTGCTCCATGAAATCAAATTGTTTGATTTTGTTATTTTTATTTGAAAGTAAACAATCAAGTAGCTATTAGAGCAAATAAACAGGATAGGAGCGGGGCTCAGAAGAGAGGCACGGACTCACACACGTGTGTGCAGGTTTGTACACAAATGTGCTGCATATTTAGAGATGTGGGATATGGAGGAGATGGGTAAGTTCCTGAAGACCTGAACTAAGCTTTAGTGAACTGTTTCAAATGCTCTATGCCAATGGCTTTTTGTACTGTTTGTTTTTTAAAAAATAAAACCTGCAAACATTAAAGCAGAGATCTTCTGATTAAGGCAGAACAGGGAATGTCAAGTCTCACAAGCTCGGGTGCCCCAGAGGCCCCTCCCTCCCTTGGGTCCCAGATCCCTGAAGCGTTTCACATGCACTCTAGGAACGGCGTGGAAGCCACCGGCCTCAGTGCTTCCCACATGTGGGCCACATGCATGCAGCTTGAACAAGCAGGTTGGGGTATGTATTTCAAATTCTTCACACCCACGCACATCCCTCTCACTCGGCACATTTGCACGTTGTTACCTGTTTGTACTTCTGGGGCAGACTCCAGCCAAACGCCTGCACTCGACCATCCTCCTTCTGCACATGCGCCTTTACCTGCCGGTACTGCTCTCTCTTCTGCTCTCTGCGTGAGGCTAAACTAGCTTCAGTTCTAATGGGAAAAGAGATTTCCTTTTTCAGTTAAGTGAATATAACAAAAGCTGCATCTCCCTTCTCTTGCTAAAATAACAAAGAAAAGCCACAAAAAATACTTGATTCCAAATTTGTTTATTCAGACTACAACTGCTCTATAAAAATTGTTATACTTCCTGGTGTGCACCCTAGAGGCCCAGGGTTCAATCCCAGCACCACCAGCAGCAAACACAGACAGGCACGCACGCACGCGCACGCGCACACACACACACACACACACACACACACACAGGTGTTAAGCTGGTCTGTGTTTGTGCAGTGAAGCACTAACAGGTTAGTAACCACCATGTCGTAGTATGCTGAACTCTCCATCCAACGCCTACCAGGTTTATAAGTATGAAAGGCAAAATGTCTCCCATGTTGGCTCTCCACTTTTTGTTCATTCAACAAATATTTACTGAGAATTTGCTAATGCCAGGAATGTGCTAGAAGTGACTAAAAGGTCAGTAAATCAGTATCTGCTTAGGAAGATAATACAGGTTCAAGTTTAAATTCCACTAACTTGTTGCAAAAGATAAAAATGCAAATTGACTTAGCATACTGAAGTAATTCTGAAAATATTTTCTTTTTCTTTTGGCCATTTAAATTTTTGTGAGGTGACTTGCTGTGTAGACCAGCAGTTAAACCTACCCACGCATCAGGCACTTCACAGACATGGTGCGACCCAACACCTTTGAGATGGGTTACACTCATTTCTCAGGCAGAGAAACTGGGACCCTACACACAGTTAGTCTGTCCACGTGTGCGTATCCTGACCATTGTCTGCACATACTCACTCTTCACTGAGGAAATCGAAGGCTTTGGACTTGTCCCCAGGGAGCTGTGATAAGGTGCTGCTTCTTTTCTTGACAGATGGGGTCACATGAGAGGTGGGTGCATTGTACTTCAGATTAACAGGCGGCTCGGGCTTCTTTGTCGTGCTGCTCGAAGAGCTGAAAAGTCTGCTGAAACTAAAAAGAAAAAAGTGTGTGCGTCTATCACATGCACTGTGAAAACAACCCATTATTTCCCGTGAAAATTCCACATGCTTTTGCAAGCAGTCAGTCAGAACCTGGCAGAAACAGCTTTGTATTACACACTGGAGCCTGAGCAGCAACTCCCAGCCACACTCTGACACTGACATCAGGAAAGGAAAGGCTGGAAGCTGGGTGCCTGTCCTTTACTTAGCAATTGTGGTGATGAGTACCGGAAACAACTCCTACTGAACAGCCCAAACCAGTCGGCCCCTTAGCAGCTTCCGCTGGTGCCATGCAAGAAAGAGAGCAAGTGCAAGCAGCAGGCCAGGGCTGCCCCAGCCCGGTGCTGAGTACACTGGGGTGGCAGAGCCCACGGACGTCCTCCACACTTTCTCGGCAAGCGCAAGTGAAGTTACTTTCCTGTCCATGTTTTTTAACAAAAATTGTTGCTTTCATTAAATAGCAGGTGCACCTGAAAAAGGTAAGTTCTCAGCACTGTAAATATACAGAACTTCCGGCACAAGCATAATTCTTCACTGTGTACACATACTAATCCAACCTCATACATGCTAGATTTCTCATCTGTACTTCGTCAAGTTCTTTACCAACACCCAACCGATGAGTCAGTAACTTATTTAATGGGGATCCAGGTAACGACCAACGTTCTAAGTAATCCCCCTTATTTTAATTTAGGAGAGGATTCCAAACGCATAGCCAACACGATGCAGCTTACGACAGGACATTTTTTATGCTTCAAGAACAGGCTTACCGAGCTGGCATACTATATATGACAAAGAAAAATTTCAGTTTAGCTATTTACTCTCAGTTTTTAAAAACTGACTGTGTCTTGCCTCAAAGTGTTAAGGTCCTCCAAGTACTTACAATTGCCAGATGCTTGACCTTTTTTTTTCCTGCATGGCTGGGTTTTCTCGTGATGCCCTGCATTGAGGAAAGAACAGAGCTATCAGCTCGGTGTTCAGCTTTCTGTCTGAAGAACAAAGGACCCAGAGTTCACGGGATGCAGGGAGGTGCTAATAAATTCAGCAAGTAGCTACCTTCATGAATGTAGGTCAGCTGGTCTGCTACAGCCAATACCGCTAAGATAAATAAAATACCACCCTTCCCTCAAAGAGCTCAGTTTACTCATGGAAGATCAGCATCCCTGTTGGACAGAAAGTCAGCATGACTCCATGTTAATATCTAAAAATTTTCCATTTCATTTTTTTAAAAGAGAAGAGATCCTTGCTAGGTTTCCCAGGGTGGTTGTTGTTTTTTATTTTTCGGTACCAGGGATCAAGCTCAGGACCTTGCACTTGCAAGGCAGGCAACCACTGAGCTAAATCCCTTGCCCGCCCAGGGTGGTTTTTTTTTATTTTTTGGGGGTTTTTTTGAGACAGGGTCTCCTTGTGTAGTTCAGGCTGTCCTTGAACTCACTATGTAGCTCAGGCTAGCCTCAAACTTGCAGCGATCCTCCTGTGACAGCCTCCCAAGTGCTGGTATTACAAGCCTGCGCCACCACGCCTGGCATCCCATGCCCAGCTGAGATTATAGTCATGGGCCACCACACCCAACAATATTAAAAAAATTTTTAGTGCTCCAGGAATGGTGGTGGATGCGTGTGTGCTGGTAATCCCAGCTACTTGGGAGGCTGAAGCAGGAGTATAACAAGTAAAAGACCAAAGATGGCCAAGGGCAGAGGATAAACTGGACTGACTGGGACTTCAACTGAACTTCAGAAAATAAAACACGAGAATGTGTGTGTTGGTTTTTTTTTGGTACCAGGGATCAAACTCGGGACCTTGCGCTTGCGAGGCAGGTGCCGGAACCACTGAGCTAAATCCCTGGCCCAAAACACAAGAATGGGTTCAGTAAGGCACTAAGGATTCTGCCATGCCCTCACAGCTCACTGTTCATGTCTTTTCTGTGTTTAAAGACTGAATTTGAAACATCTTTTAATTCAATGAACAAGTTAAAAGTTGCTGTTAAGAGTTAAAAACAGCAATGAGAGGTGGAGCCCCGCTATCTGCCTTCGGTATATAAAGTACTTATTCATTATTTAATATCCTAAAGTAATTATTTAATATCCTCAAAGCAGCAGTTAAGAACACACTTCTTGAGTTAGTATCTTTGTCAAATAAATAAAGATCAGAACTCTTCTCTTTCATCTTCAGTAACTATAGCAATTAGGGTGCTGGCAAATTATAAAATACTTCATTCTCATACATTAGTAAAGGATGTATACAAATTGAATGATGTAATTATAAGGAAGTAAAAGGTGGAGGTTAGAGAATATTTGATAATGGGCCAGGGATTTAGCTCAGCAGTTCCACTGCCTGCCTTGAAAGCGCAAGGTCCCAAGTTCGATCCCCAGTACCAAAAAAATAGAAAATATCTGATAAGCCTCAAAAAATTTATCAATATATGCTATTTTAGTAAATCTGATTTGACAATCCAAACTCAAAAATATAGTCAATTGGTGGACCATGAATTTACAAACTTTTCATGAGCTCTTTTGAAATTTAAAGGAAGGAACACTGTGACTGAGAATGTGACCAGATGGCAGGATTAGGTATGGTTTAAGATCCAAGGACAGGGTGGGGGATTTAGCTCAGTGGCACTGCGCCTGCCTTGCAAACACAAGGTTGAGAGTTTGATCCCGGGGGCCCCCCCACCCAAAAGATCTGAGGACAGACAAACACACATGTTCTCTCTCTTTCCTACAGAAATATGAAAATTATATAGAGATCATCAGTTTCCTGGGAAGGGGGTAATAAAGGGAGGCTGATTCAGCCAGGGCATGTCGTATGCGTGTATTGAAAAAAAAAATCACACCAAACCCCATTAATATGTACGATTACTGTATATTAATTAAAAAATAAAAAACAGCTGGGCATGGTTGGACACACCTACAATCCCAGCACTGAAGGAGACTGAGGCAGGAGAACTGCAAGTTCAAATCCTATCTGGGCAGCTCAGTGATAATCCTGTCTCAAAACTAAAGAAAAGAAAGAATGAAAAGGCTATGGATCTGGCTCAGTGGCACAATGCCCTTGGATCAATCCCCAGTACCATGAGAAAGATCCAGCTGACTGAAAGATGCCTGTGGAAGGTGTGTTTTGCATTGAGTAGAAGGAGGCAGAAAATCAAGCATACCGCACAGGAAGATCTAAGTAAAAATGATTTTTCTCCCTGTGTTGCATAGGAAATTTCCATCATTTCCTGACACTGAGAATGGCATTAATTTCTATATTCTTTTGAAAAATAATCACCACTCCCAAGTAAGGACAACTGCCTTTACAGGCTGTGGGAGCATCGTCCAAGACTGCACAGAGGTCTGAAAGATGCTGTTTCTAACCCAGGCTCTTAATCATTCTTTCCTAGCCTTCCTCAGTGGAGCACTGAAGAGGCCCCTCTCAACTGTTACTTTACAGTCTTCCCAGTAAACACAGGAATGGCACAGGCGCCTTTCTGAACCAGGGAACTGTACATATAAACCCGTGAAACGGCAGCAGGAAAGCACCAGTGACTCCTCATACGAACCGAATCATCTCTGTCCATCGAACAGCTTCCTGGAGCTCCATCAATCTCTCTTTGTACTGGTTCCTCTCCATGAGAACACGGGCCATCTCCACTCGCGTGAACCGCTTCCTCTGGGCTGTGGGGATATCACTCTATAGCAAGAGGACAGATCAAACAGGGGCTTAGGTCTGTTTTGGAGTTAATCTCAGACTCAAGGCAAGCCTTTACATTTTTAAACAGGCCTTAATTTCTAACCTAAAAGACAGCTTAAAGAAAAATGGCCTTAATCGGGTGTGGTGGCACATTCCTCTAATCCCAGCACTCTAGGAGGCTGAGACAGGAAGATTCCAAGGTTGAGCTCAGCCTGGGCAATTCAGCAGCTTAAGAGAGACCCTATCCCCCCTCCCAGTCCCCCCCCCTCCCGTACCGGGGATTGAACTCGGGCCTTTGCGCTTGTGAGCCAGGCGGCGGAACCACTGAGCTAAATCCCCAGCCTGAGAGACCCTGCCTTAAAAGAAAAAAAAAAAGGCTGGCAAGAAGGATGGACAGTGAGAAAGGACCTGCTTTGTCCGGAGCAGCCCTCCTCCTTTCTGCTCCTCCAACAGAACCTGGCCTTTACTTTAAATAAAAGTATAGAAGTTAACAAATAACAGAAGACCTGAATTCTGCAGCACACCAGCCCCACTACTAGATTCGTACCCTGGAAAAACTTGCTTCTACGGCTGCATTTATACTAAAATCTCAGCAACAGTATTGTGGCAGTAAAAAAGCTGCGAGTCACCTCAACCATCAGTAAGAGGCAATGGACAAAGTGGAGACTATTCCTATAATGGGGCACTAGGGATGAACCACTGCACTGTACTATGCTACTGGGGAACCCGAAAATCATGCTGCTGAGTAAAAAGAGCAATCTGCAAGACTACATAGAGCAGGGAACACAAAAACAAGCCAAGTGCTCTTCAGAGGGAGTGTGTGTGCATGGGTGTGCATGCGTGTCAGGAGCACTGCAAGTCTGAGCCTGGCCTAGATGACTCAGGGAGACCCTGTCTCAAACGCAGCTCAATGGTAGAGGCCCTGGGTTCGATCCCAGAGAGCCTTCCCAACCCCTAAAACCAGGTGGTAGATTTACAGTATGAACTCATCATGGTTCATAGCTCTTACACGTTACACATATCTTCTGTATGTATCAAATCATGTATTAAAATCTCAAAGCACCTGAAAGGGCACCAAATGACCATTCTGTCCAAGACATCCACATATCATGAGTCTGACCTCTGATGTGAATGCACTGGCTATAAGAATGGTAAGAACATACTCTAGCTATAAAGAAAATTACAGGGGCACTGACGTTTATTCTTCACATTTATGTACAAAGGCAAGAGGGGCTAACTTGCTAGAACTAAAGTTCGGGATTTCATCCTCCTATGTTAAATACTACTGAACAATTTTAATTATTCAGCTTTCATATTCCTAACTCAAGATTTAAGACAAAATAACCATTATCAACAACCATCCCCATGGATCTTCCAATGTTGAACTAACACTGCCATCCCTATAACAAAACCACTTTCTACATACTGCCAGATTTGACTTCTAATAGTTTGTTTTGTTAAACAAATTTCTATCTATGTTCATACTTTTTTCTTCTATTATCTTTATCCAGTTTTAGGATTAGCACAATGTTGAGTTCCTAAAATGAGGGCAGAAGTGTTCCTTCTTTTTTCTGCTTGAATTGTTTGATATAATTTATCAGCCTGCTGTTGTCATATAGGTAGGTTTTCAAGCTAGGAGTATACTTTCTTTAATAGGTGCTATTCAAATTTTATATTTCCTCCAGAGTTAGTTTCATTAATTTGTCTTCCAAGGTACTTCTTAGAAGTTGTCAAATTTATTTCAAAACAGATTTTTGAAATATGCTTTCTATATCCTTTTAAATTCTGTAAAATCTGTGGTAATGTCTCCTAGATCTTGGTATTGTAATTTAAAAAAGGCATAATTGATAGCGTGTAACAGGAAGAAAAGGTCTAAAAGAGCAGGGGAATTGGGAGGGGTAGGGGAAGGGAAAAAAGGGAAAGGAAAAATATGAGAAAAGGAAAAAAATGGAAACAAAGTCTTTGCAAATAGGGAAGGGTGGAGGGGGTGAAGGGAGGGCAGGGGAAGGGGAAAAAATAAGAACCAAGATGCTCATGTAATGGTACAAGATCCCAGTGATGAATGTAACTGTATTTTATACCGAAAATGTACCAATAAACTTAATGGGGGAAAAAAACCCCAAAAAACCATCCCCAAGTGTCTTGTTGGTCCTTGAACTTGGACATAGAGCTGCAGAGGAAAACACGTGGGCATCTGCCCTGTGAACACCCACAGCCCTGTCTTCTAACTGCTAAATCTCCACAGCACTACTCGTATATCCAAAGTTTAATTAGTAAGGTTTTCCTGAGATAGCAAGACACGGTAAGAACAAACATTAAAACTGCAAACCTACATCATCATCATCTTTTGCTTTTTGCCTTGCATCTTCAGCTTCGGCACGAGCTCTAGTGGGAAATAAAACAAAACATGTTACTTGAATTGAGCTCAACGTTTCAAATAATGAAAGGGTAGGCGAACAATTTAACTACCACTAAAGAAGCGTCTTTCTTTTTGTCAAAAGTGTACAAAGCTGCCCCCAGTTTGGAAAAACATTATCACAGCAGTCCTTACAAAAACAAAAAGACAGGTCTTAAGGAAAAGAATACAAACAGTTCTCTTTTTACATCAAGGAGACACAAACAATGGTGACATTTGTGTGGCAGACTGGACACGGCCAGGCATCTGTTCCTTCCCAGCAGCCCCGGCCTTTCCCGAAGGCCTGTCTCAAGGTCACATCCCGAACCCTTTGCGGCACCCTGGCAAAGTCAGCCTGGTTAGAGCCATACAGCCAAACTTACTTCCTGAGTTCCTCTTCCAATTCTCTGTTCTTCTCCTCCAGCTTCTGCTTGGCTTGTTTCACGGCCTCCAGCTCCCCTTGCAGCACATCCTTCTCACACGTCAGCTCATCCACTTTGGCTATCAGGTCATTCTTCACTACATTCAAAGCGTTTCTGAGAAACACATAGCCAAGTGCATCTTACAAACATTCTTTCCCTCCTTCGGCTCATTCCTTTGTAGGCTAAAGTAACTGCTTGATTACAAAGCTGAAGAACTGGCTACTTCAAGACATTCTACCTGTGACCTTTGTAGATAAAGGTGGGAAGGACACAAATCGGTCATCTAAGTTTGCACTCTTCCCACTTAGGGAGAATGGATAAAACAAGACAGACCACCAACAGACATAAGTCAGAATAAGTCAGAGTGCACTTAAAAACAAGCAATCTTTCCCAGTGAAGAGACATTTACACGTCTTCCTCCTGTCCAAACCCCGGAGCCTGGGAAGGTGAACTGCTGGGGCTGGTGGGGGAGACAGGATATGTGCTCTGGGAGGAACTATCTGAGGGGTCAGAGTTCTTCATGCAAGAAAGGAAAAGACCTTTCTAGGGCTACTATTGTTGTCAGTTCTGAAGAGATATTACCTAATCAAGAAAGTCTGAAGTTATATTTAATAATCAATGTGGAAATCATCTAAACTAGAAAGAAACTGAAGAAAAAGCTGAAACGCAGTTCCTCTGGCCCCGGTGGGCATGAGGCGTGGTGACTGATGTTCTGTGTGGACACACTCCTTCCACACTCATCTGACATAGGGATGAGCACTCTTCCACATGACAAAGGCCCTGTTCTATCTGACTACACCCCGACACACAGGAAGGCCTACGGTTGCACAATCTGTACTGAGAACAGTACGCTGATGAAGTGCTGTGGACTTGGTTGACAAAAATCATTTGTTCCTTGTTATTATTTTATACTTACTTGGTTTCCAAAAGTTGTGTGTTTTCTAGTATAAGATTCTCAACTTCACGACCCATTCCTATCAAAAGAAAAATGATAAATATGAAAATAATTTATCAAAAATTATATCCAAGCTATAGTCATATTTTTATTATTTTCTGTCCTCTCAGTAATC